GCCATGAAGCATAAAATTGTAGCAATAAATTTTCTTCATTATTAGCCACAATATTTCATATAAAGCCTATTTAGAAATACAACCAAATTTTGGCAATAAAACATATAGGCAACTGTAGCATAAATCTTCTTCAATTACGTAATAAATGCAATATATTAGCAAAAAAATTTAACAAAGGTTCAACAATATCAATTCAAATATTAAAACATCGTTTGGAACATATTAATAAGCTTTGACAAGAGGAAAAACATGTGCCCGTCGACCTTGATACTTTTATAACTTCTCCACAAACTGCAATAACAATAGAAAAAAAAGCAAATAACTAATGATACAATGAAGCATTTTTATATATGAAAATTAAATTTTATTTTAAATGTGAATACTACCTTAAAGAATCATATATATACAAATTTATTAATATAAAAAGACATTAATAAAAGTCTAAGTTACTTACTGTTAGATGGTATTTTGTTGTAGACCTTGTGCTACAAGTATCATTTGCAATTTTTCTTCCCATTGCGTACTCATCTCTGCTAGCTGATCATTCATATCTTTCTTGATTTCTTTAATTTGTTCCTTAGCTTCCTTTTTAACTTCTTCCACACGCCCATTTGCCTCTTTTCTGGTCAATTCTAGTTGCTTTATAAGCTGTACTTTTGTTGGTCTACCACCAAAATATTTACTGATGTTTTTTTCGGGTCCATATGCACGAAGATATCCATTTTTTTTCAGCCCCAAGAACTTTTTCAAAGATATCATCATCATTTAAAGAAATTTCTCCTTCTTTTTGCTGCTTTTTAAATTGGTCGAATTGAACCTACAATCAAATAATGCAAATCAATTAAATATATGCACAAATGTATACTATAAAAGGAGATAAAAAAGAAAAGAAAACACATCAACATTACAATAACATCTTGTTGAAAAGCATCAACTTGTTTTGCTTTTTTTCTCTTGCGAGATTCCATAAAAACTTCAACACGGGAAGGAGCTTTTTTATTTTTTTTCTCCTGCAAAAAAATAATTATTATCATTAATAGAATAAAATATGTGAATATAATTCTTCTAAATTCGTTCTAAAAATATTATTATAGTGTTCTAAAAATTGTTAACTTGCTTTTGAATCAAAATACTTCTTCTTCAACTTGTACCTATACTCTCTATAGAGGTCACTCATTTTACCACGAATTGCGCTTTTTCTTCACTCGGACACATCAAAATTAAACTTTTCCTATAAGAAATAAATACCATCATAGTTTATGATCATATATTCTAGTAATTGTTAATCCATAAGAAATTATAAAATATTATAGAGTTATTAATTTGTTAGTTTTTCTTACCAAAACGATGTCCCACATATGGTCGTTCTTATCTTGCTCAATCTCTTTCCAACCATTTATCTTTAAAGGGCAACAAGTTCGGCTTCTAACTGTTTGGCCCAAAAACCAAATTAATATGCTTGCATTCTCACCAATTGCTTGATGATCCTCATCAAATTCTACCGGTAGTTTTTGTCCCTCCTGTAAATTAATTATTTTCACGCACCGTGTAGGACCTCTAGTTTTTCTTTTCACAGCGTTGGAACCTAGAAGATTAAATAAATAACGTCAAGTAAAAATATCGATATATGTGACTAAGATCAATAAAGATAATGCTTACCTGTTCAATTTGCAGATTCATGTTCTTCTACAACTGCTTCCATCGCCTTTTCAAACTCATTACCCCTAACACTATTTTCTCCAAGAGAAATACTCATAAAAATATCATAGCGAAAATAAATTTAGCGGCCACCACGTTAAATCCAAGAGTACTCATCAAGTTAGCTAAAGTTATAAAGAAAATAAATTTGAGCAAAGCAAGTCAATTGACGAATGACGATAAATCATAGCACTAAAAAATCAAACAACTCAATTAAAAAATATAATATGTAGCATCAAAGTTTATAACATCAATTGAACTTTTAAAAATATTTGTACCCATCATATAACCACATATTTTTCAATGAGTTTGAAAGTAACACAGAAAAAGATGTAAATTTCTTATCTTTAAGGTCCTACAAAAAGCAGTCACCGAAAATTCAATTCTTAATAAATTGAACCAAAAAAGTATCAAAAAGTAATATATGCTGATAATTTAAGAACAAGGGAAGTAGTCAAAATCTACAAAATTAGACAAAATAATACAAATTTATAGGTTGAAAGTGGGATTGAGACAGAGAAAGAAAATAGAACCTTTGCTTCTAGGGATGACAAGATAAGTAATAAAAAATTTTGCCCCTCCATTCTTGGCTTTCTTTTGTGAGTTTAGTGCTTTAGGGTTTTTTGCTTTCTAATCTCTCTAATAGAAAAGGGACGTGATTTTAGTTTATTCTCCCTAATCTCTCTAATAGAAATGGAGGCTTTGATTTAGGACAAAATATTTAGAGGGAAAAATGTGGAGGGAATCTTTCGTTTTTACTTTGGAGGCTATCAAATTATTTTGGTGCTAAATTTAACATGGATAAAAATGTGGACGGAATCTTTCGTTTTTACTTTGGAGGATATCAAATTATTTTGGTGCTAAATTTAACATGGATTAATTCTTTTGTATGATTAGAATAATAAAATTAAAATGCATATTTAATTGTTGTGTTGAAACTATTTTAATTTAGATTTAACTTGATATGTGATTGTATGTCTGATATTTTCAGTCAATAAGAAATTAATTGTAGGCACCCTATAAAATCTTTCTCATATTCATTTTATAAGTATTGAAAAACGGATTTATTTCTCAATTAGTACAATCCACATAAGTTAAAATATTAATCAATTCCAAATATTTAAATATTAGGACTTCTTACCTAGCTAGTTTAATAAGAAAAAGATTTAATACTCCCTTCGTTCACTTTTACTCGTCCACTATACTAAAAATATATTTTCACTTTTACTTGACCACTATACTAAATCAAGAAAAAGATAATCTTTTTTTTTCTTCGTCTGTTTTTCTCTTATCATTAATTTCTCATTTTCAAAAGGGGTTATATGGTAAAATACATACTACAATTATTACTTCTTAAGGGGCGTGAAAAGTCTACAGTGAACAAGTAAAAGTGAATGTAAGAAGTATATAAAATTTAAGTTAATTTCAAAATCCTAAATATTAGGAAAGTAACTTAAATTATAATTTCGTCTATTGTGAAAGTTATTTTAAAGGGTAAAAAAGACAATGATATTTAGTTAAGGGTCTTCATGTTTTTAATATAGTATAGATATAGATAACTTATTAATAATTGAACAATATTTAAAGTTATTATGTATTTGATATAAACTACAATACATGCACACGTCTATATTAACTATTTTAAATTATTAGATACTAGGGGTGACAATGGTTCGGTTCGGTTCGGCCGGTTATTTTATAAAATTAGTACCATACCAAATTTTTGGTTATTTTATTATATATAACAAAAATTAGACTTTTCGAAACCGTCCCAATCATGCCGGTTTCTCTTCGGTATCGGTACGGGTTCGGTTAATTTTCGGTATTTTTTAAATATCATGTAAAATTCACCAGAAGTACAATGCAATAATATATGTTCTTTTTATAGGACTTAACAAAACTCTCTAGACATTTTTATTGTTTAAAGGGTGATGAAGTAAAAAAAAAAATAAAAGATGGCTAGAGTAAAGATTCATCAACTATTCTACAACAACGTAAAAGAATCAAACAAAGGCGAAAAAATATAAATCACACGAGTGGAAAGATATTAACCAAGTTGGGACTCAAGAATAAAGTCTATAGGAGGTTAAATATTCAAAAAGATAAATCTGAATTATATGAAAGGAACCATATTCAATACATTGTAGTTTGCTACTCATATTCGCTAGAATACTTTGAGTCTTGCTAATGAAGATTACTAGTTTAAGATTAAAATATGTATAGCAGGCATGAACAACTATATATGTTGATGTTAATTCTTCAATGTTGGCACTGTTTACTCCCACAGTAAGCCACCATTGTAATTATGTATGAATTGCTTTCAGCATCTTTAGACCATGTAGATTCCATGTTGTATATAATTTTAGCACATCACGGTTTCAACATGAATCTGTAATACATGTAGCTACTATGACAAATAAATGTAGCTATTATGTCCCAACAATTGCTAGGAGTTTTGAAAATTGAAGCAAGACTATTCTTTTAGCTATAAAATTATGTGCAAACAAATATATTGCGGCTAAAATATTACAATAGCTACAGTGATGTCAGATGCATAGCAAAAAATTAAAATTAGCTACAATACTTATTGTAGCTTTATAAATTCGTTGTTATATTATTTTGCAATGATATTCAATCGTAGCTATTGACCCTACTATTGCCATGCTTTTTATAACTTGAAGCAAAGATGTTCAATATTTTATCTGACATAATTTGTCGTGGCAAAAAGGTTATTATCGCTACAATAGTTCAAACACTTGGCAAAAACTAATAATTAGCTACAAAATTTTAGTGTAGCAATAAATTTGTAGCTATTTAGGCAGTTATTGCCACGACATAAATTAACTATAGCAAAAATGAGGTATTAGCTCTGCCAATTTAATTTTTATAGCTAAGAAATTTCAGCAATTTGTGAATAGCCACGAAACTCTAATTTTTAGTAATAGCCACAAATTTTATATTCGTAGCTAAGAATTTATAGCTGTAGATGCATAATGTTGTAGTGATTTATATTTGAAGGGTATATATGCCTTCGAAACTATACAAGGAATTTTCAGTAAGCTAATGATGGCTTTATTTGGAACCTAAACCAGACAAATTAAATGCCGGAATATTTAATTTTGATACAAATTTGATATTCTATAACAATATATAAACTAAAATATATATAATTGATATATTTGTATATAGGAGATAATTAAATTAATACCTGAGTAGGGAGGATAATAAAATTTTCAATAATGTATAAATATATAAAAATCCCAAAAAACACACACATCAAGTAGTAGATGTGTGAAGTCCAATAAGAAAAACAAGATAATACTATATTCCAATTCTTTCCTCCGCTATACGCGGTGTGAACACGCCATTTCCTTATAATTTGCTTCCGGACCAAATGGCCCCTTTCTTTTAAAAGATTTCCCATGTTGCCCCAGAGTATCATGCAGCAAATCTTTCCACGCCGTTGACCTTCATCCTTCCGAAAAAACTGCCCAGCACCGCCGATGGGTGACGAAGATTCTGAATCAACAACAACTCTACTGATTCCCTCATCCGATCCAAATAATATCCCCAAGGACTCATTCCACATAGCCTATGTAATCTACTTCTTCCTCGGCTCAGGTTACGTTCTCCCATGGAACGTCTTCATCACAGCCGTTGACTACTTCACCTTCCTTTATCCAACGGTCTCAGTTGATCGTACTTTCGCTATCGTAAACATGACACTCAGTTTGGTTTGTCTGCTATTCATAGTTGGTTTTGCTAATAAGTCGAGTTGCTTTGTGAGAATTAATGTTGGGATGTTTCTGTATGTGGTGGCTTTGGTCATGGTTCCTTTGATGGATTTTTGGTATGTTAAGGGCAGAGTTGGAGTTTATGGTGGGTTCTATGTTACGGTGGGGCTTGTTGGGCTTTCTGGGGCTGCGAATGGGTTGGTTCAAGGTGGGGTAATTGGGTCCGCCGGAGAGTTGCCAGATAGGTACATTCAGGCTACTCTAGCAGGAACTGCTGCTTCAGGTATAATTTGTTCGTTTAAATTCGTTTAGATTCTATGTATTGACTTAGGTAACTACAACTTGATAACTATTACTCTCTCCTATCTACTTTACTTGACTTTTGGCTGTTTTTATATATATTAAGAAATTTAGCTTTTGGTTTTAATTAACAATTAAATTGACCATATTAACCTTATTTTATTTATTGAAAATATAATAAATATTTCTAGGCTTTTTACTCTAATGACAACTTTGAAAAAAAGAAATTAATTCTTTTTTGATATCTGAAAAAATCAATATTATGGATCATAAGAAAAATACCAAAAAATTAATTAAAGTGGACCGGAGGGAGTAATTGTTAATCTGAAAAATATGGAGTAATAAATAACTTGCTAGCATAGTGTAGTTGTTAGTGTATTTATAACTTAAATCATTTTTTCCTTAGTTTTGTTTTATATGGTATTTGTTTGAGCATGGATTTTATTATGTGGATATCGGAAGTATTAAAGTAGAATTGAAATTTTATTTGAAATAGAAAACAATGTTACTCCCTTTAAAATTAAACGAGGTACTTTCATTTTTAGTTTGTTCCAAAATAAATAACACATTTTTAAATTTAGAAATAATTCTACTTTAAACTCTTCATTTTACCCGCTTTACCCTTAATGAGAAACTTTTATATACAAATGTCATGGCCCCACACAGCTTTTACCCCTTAAACTTTTAAGATCACAAGTTTCAAAAGTCTTCTTCTTTTATCTTAAACTCCATGCCGAGTCAAACTAACTCATTTAAATTAAAACGGAGGGAGTATCATTTATTTGGTATGTCCCCAAAATAACAAGAGTCATATAAATTGGAACTAATGAAATACTAATAATAGGTTTAAAATAAGATTGTGAAAGTATCCAATTCTCGATATTAGTATTATTTATAAGAAGAACAATCAACACGAAAATATCCGGATACTGAAAGCTTGGAGTGTCAAATGGGCGGGTTGGGTCGATTTCGGGCGAGACAAAATGGGTTGAGTCAATTTGACTCGCCCAAAAATTACTTGGGTGAGATAGGTTGGGGTCAAGATGGGCTAAAATTTGGGTCATAACCCTACCCTCCCAACTTCTACCAAGCTTTAACTAATAAGTGTTATTTTCTTAACAAATGAATAATTACTAAATATATATATTTTTTCTTTTGTTATATGGTCATATAACATATCAACCAAATAAAGATTATTTCTAAAATATTTTGGCAAAGTTATTCATGGATCAGTTTGTGCTAAAAAACAGGTCAACTTTAAATGGTTGAGATAGGCTGGATTATGATGGATTGAGTTCAATAAATTAGGGTCGATAATCAATCCAACCTTAGGCGGGTTGGGGGTCAATTGGGTTTGGGCCAAATTTGATAGCCCTATTGAAAGCCAAAGAATAAGAGGAGATTTTCTCCAAATTCCTGACTGATAACAACTTAATTGGTAATATCAATTGATTCTTTTTCTCGTTGCTAGCTGATTTAAACTCGAGACTCAGTATGTTGAGGGAATATAAGTACTGTATTATTTGCACTTTCTCCATTGAAATTTGTTGATTTGAATGAAAAGTTTGTTGGGTTCAAGAAAGAAATGTAGTGGTGTCCTTCTCACTTTTATTTAATTGGAATTGTATATGGGGTGAATGTACAGAATATCCAATCCACCTCAATGACTACCTGCATTTTCTTACTAATCAGTCAATAGATTTACGTTTGAGGTCATCAAAGATTAGAGCTAGACTTGATGTTTGTACTAGACAATTTTTATATGTTGGGGTTAAATAATTTTGCAAAATGATCTGTAGGAAAGATTGAAAAGCCTATTTTGCAAATGAAATTGGTTTTCACTAGTGTTCGGATTTTGTTGCAGTCTCATATAAACAAATTTATTCTTCTTCATAGAAGTCGGCCTGATGTGTGTATAGGTCTAAATTTGGTGACTCGGCAGTAACGGATAAGCAAGACAAAGGACGGGGTCGACCATGGTAGAACAACTGAAGGTTGCTCTCAAGACGGTTGATGCCAAAGACGGGCAACTGAGATGAGGAAATAACGGTAGCATATATTCAAATATGGACGCAAGGAATATTTCTTTGGATATTCTTTGTTTTGTACTTTTTAGGGTTTTTGAGAAATATCCCTTATAAATAGGAAGAGATAGAGAACAAAAGGGGATCTTCATATTATGAGAAAGAACACTTTGTAAAAGGTTGACCCGAAAGAATATACTAAAGTTGTCTTATTCATTGATTACATTACTCGAGCATACATTTTTGATTCTATATTCACAAGATCCAAAGGTTCCTCGACCCCCTCTTATTTCCCTTCTTTCCACGCTGTTGTCAGGGGAAGGAACCTTCCGAATCTTACAATAATTGGGTAGTAACTTCCTTTTGTTATGGTAGTCGCATTTATTTATATTCATTGTACATTTATGTTGTTGTATTTATGAGTATTTAATCAGCTCAAACATATTAGCTAACGTCGTTTATCTTGTCTACTTCATCTAACATTTGGTCTAGATTTTATTATTCTTAATTACGATTCACCCCTCTTCTCATCATTAATTGGTCTAATCAAAAGGCTTAATACTTTTTGGTCGGCTTTCCATTAGACTTCTGCTTGATATTTTTTATTGTTGAACAGGTCATCTTTTTCATGGTTTAACTAGTTGAACTTTTCTCTTTTGGATTGAGTAAAGATGATTTAACTGGTTTGAATGTAGCTGGACTATCTGATATTTTAGTTGATGATGACCCTGGTTCTGTCACTTTGTAATTTCCTTTTTTTAATTCAAACATATTCCCTGACAACAATATATAACTGTGTCTAGACTTTTGTTCTGTGTTGCAGGTGTCCTTGTTTCGTTGCTTAGAATTTTCACAAAAGCTGTTTACCCACAAGATGCAGATGGGCTGAGAAAAAGTGCAAACCTTTATTTTATTGTCAGCATTGCTATGATGATCTTGTGCATTATTCTTTATAATGTGGCACACAGGCTTCCAGTTATTAAATACACTGATCTTAAAACTCGGACAATGAACGAGGAGAAGTATGGCCTAACGAGAGGACTATGGAGATCGACCTTGTGGGACATTGTTGGGACGGTAAAATGGTATGGCTTTGGAATCCTAAGCATTTATATGGTCACTTTGTGCATATTTCCAGGATATATTACAGAGGACGTGCACTCTCAGCTTCTGAAGGATTGGTATCCGATCCTGTTGATTACTGGCTACAATGTTTTTGATCTGGTTGGGAAGTCTCTTACTTCTATATGTTTTCTCGGAAATGCTGAGGTTGCAGTTGGTGCTTGCTATTCGAGGTTGTTGTTTTTGCCTCTATTCTATGGTTGTTTGCATGGGCCCAAATTCTTCAGGACAGAGCTTCCAGTTACTATACTAACTTGTCTTTTGGGGCTAACTAATGGCTACCTTACTAGTGTGTTAATGATGTTGGGTTCAAAAACTGTCCGGCTGCAACATGCAGAGGTAGCTGGGACTGTGCTTGTTTTGTTCTTAATATTTGGTCTGACAATTGGTTCTGTTATATCATGGCTATGGGCTATTTAGTTTGTTGGCGACTTGTTAACATTAGTTCCACCGAATACATTGTCAATATTCATACGCCACGTCAAAGTTTGCATACACATTATCCTCCTCAGAATTCATTTGTGGTATTACACTTGTGTTGTTATTGTGGGCATTCCATTATTAGATATGTGCCCTGATGTATGTCCTTTACTTATTTATTTATTTTTATTTATATGTTAACAGTTTATTATTGGCAAATTTCAAGAAACATGTCTATTGCATCTTCTTCTTGCTCCTATTATCCTTCTGTCGCACAAAAAGAAAATATTACGAATCAGTGAACAAAATTGACTGAAAAGAGGATATTGAAATGGAAAAATAAATCTTTAGACACAAGACAAGGTTTTATTAGAACTTCTCGTCACGACCCAAAATCTCAACCCGTCATGATGGCACCTAACACACCGGCTAGGCAAGCCGCAACACAACAATAAAGAAACAGAACATTGGAACTTATAGAAATAACATAAGTCTGAAATCTCTATACAACCAATACTGCTAATACAGGTAGGTCCCCCAGAATACAAGTCTGAAACTAAATAGTAATACTGTTTGAACTGAAACAGCAGTACATATGAAAAGACAAATCAAACTGCGGCCAAGAATGCAACTCTACCTTGCCTCTCGAAGATCAGTCCAACAAGCCAATCTACTGCTGATAACTGGTCCCCACACTTGAATTTGCACAATTAAGTGCAGAGTGTAGTATGAGTACAACCGACCAAATGTACTAACAAGTATCATAACTAACCTCGGCGAGGTAAAAGAAACGAGAATTATGAATGATACCTGCTATAACCTGTATAGTTTCATAAAATCCAACAAGTACAGAACAATAATGTGAACATGTATAAGGTACTGAAAGGATTATTTATGTGTGTGTGTACAATTAACTGGTCCCTACAACTAGATCTGCACAATTAAGTGCAGAGTGTAGTATGAGTACAACTAACCTAATGTACTCAACAAGTATCGTAACTAACCTTGGCAAGATAAAATAACGAGAATAGAAGTGATACCTGTTATAACCTGTACAGTTTCATAAAATCCAACAAGTGCATAACAATAATGTAAATATGTATAAGGTACTGAAAGGACTATTTTTGTGTGTGTACAATTACTCAAAATTCTCTGCTCCGTCACGGGTACAATATATAAGATGATATGCAGATAAATCAGATAATAAACCATGAAAATTACAAGTACAGATGAAATGCAATTTTAAAATAACACTTGGCAAACTTTTCTCACCCTTTCCATATTCGTATCAAACCACTGATCAGTTTTCGTCAATAATCATATGTACGCCATCAAGAGACAAACATGAGAGGGTGACCTTAGGGGGATGGATCCATATCCACACGTTGCACGGATAACTCACGTGCCGCCCGGACAACTCACGTTCTAATAGAATCAACCGCACGGAGAACTCACGTGCCAATAATCATAATCCGCCTGGTGTGGTCACATGCTACTAGTCCAGCTCATAACACAGAGAAAGCAAATATGCGAGAATACATGTACACGATCAATGATTATCAAGTTTCATACTCCTGGACTGGTGTAATTAACATGCTGTAGGCATGTGCAATGTGTGCTATCACAGCTAAAACAGAGAATTCCCATCAAGAAATAACATTTATCATGTTCAACCAGAAGAATAACCTCAACGAAATCTCAGATATGGTACAAATAACTCAAAGAGGGGTACAAAATAGGAGAAACATATCAACTTAAGCTTATCAATTATTTTAAGGCATGTCATCGCCTAAGCACTACCTCGAGTATGAAATAGTACCCCGGTGCACGCATGGGTACCCCACAAATATGCGACACCCATAGCACATAGCTATCACAAATAATTCAAGAAACTAATGCCTCACCGAAGTTTAGATAGATATTTATCTCAAGCAAACCAAATCACTCTGTTAACAAGCCCTTTCCTTTTGTATCAATCTCCGGAAGGTTCGAATCTAACCAAGATAACATAATACTATCAATAAAAACTATAGGAAATGATTTCAAAAGATAAAGCTAAGATCTTTAACTCAAGTCAAAAAGTCCACCCTAAAAGTTAACCCTGGGCTCGCACATAGGAACCTGACAAAATTAGTAAGTTTCGGACAGTCATTCAATTAGGAGTCCAACCATACTAAAATCACCCAATTCTGACCTCTAATCGACCTTCAAACCTCTATTTTTATTTTTGAAAAGTTTACACAAAATTTCACATTTCGTCACTTTAATTTACTAATTAAATGCTAAAAACAAAGATGGAATCATGATATAATAACAAATCCGAGTCAAAAATATTTACCCCGATAAAAATCTTAAAATTTCCTCCAAAATCTCCCAAAACTGAGTTCCACAACTCAAAATGTGAAATAATATCGAGGATTTTAAAACTTGCTGCCCAGTTACTACACTTCGCAACTGCGGAAATTCCTTCGCGATCGCAAAGAACAAAAATCCCCAGTAGCAAAATCCTTTTACGCGAACGCAATCATCAGGTCGCGAACGCGATGACCAGCCACCCAAACCTACGTGATTGCGGATAGCCACACGCAATCACGATGAACAAATGCAAGGAAATCCCAGACCTCCCCTTCCTTCTTCGCGAACGCGTCCCCTGACTCGCGTTCACATCGCACAAACAATCAAAAATTTGCGATAATGCAGCCAACATTCAAATAAATTCAAGCACACGTAGTAGGCTATTATACTCACCTTAGCCATTAGAAACAACACGAAATTTCAGCCAAACACATCCCACAACTATACTCAATGACACCACAGCACTATAGGTGTTCTATTCTCTTCTTGAATTAGCTTTTGGAGTTCAAGTTGGTATGTAAACACTTGTAGTTCTCCTTGAAACTCAAATATATATGAAGGAGGGACTGATTATTACCTTAATAACCAAGAACAACATGAAACCTGAGGTTACTTCACTTTGAAGAATCCTCCTAAACAACAACAAGATGAAGAACTACGATCTAGCAAGCACCACGGAATTTCTAGCATTGGATTGATGTTTTTATCTTTGATTTTTACTCTAGAATCATGGAGACTACTTTGAGAGCATCTAGGAGAGATTAGGAACTGTATTCGTCGAGAAAAATGAGTTAAAACGAGGTATAATTGACTTAAATACGAGCTGGACTTTCCCACCAACTTTGTGGGTCCCAAGAGGGCTGCTTGCGCAATTTCGCAAAAATGCGAATATATCTCTACTCTGATGTTGTATCAACGAACGATTTAATGCGTCGGAAACTAAACTTGTAGACCTTCAATTTTATAGGTGAATGACCCTGTAATCCATAATATATTAAGAGTAAAGCTCTGATACATTTGACCTAATTTTTAACATATTTATGAATGGAACTTGTGATGGCCTTTGCCAACTTTTGTTCCACAACTCGCTTGACTTCAAAACGTAACACACGACTATGATACGACTAAAATAACTCATAACATAACCTCCTTATCATATTAAGTACCCTAGTATCACCCCAAAAGTACATGTTATAATATTCTCAACTTGTCGACTTTCGACGAAATTTATTTTCTTCAAGTCGTTTAGCTTCTAAGCCTTCCAACCCTCTTGGTACATGCAATTCATGATCGTAAATATTTTTAATCTTCAAGGTAACATGAGTCCTCAACCTCGCGAATGCGTTGAACAATTTCCCACCTGCCAGAATTGATCCTTCGCGATCGTGACCTTCTCCTCACGATCGTGAAAGAGGAAACCAGAAGCACAGATATCAACAACTCCTCCAAGTCCAAAATGAGTCCGAACTTGATCCGAATCACACCCGAGGCCCCCGGAATCCCATCCAAATATACCAAAAGTTCTAAAACACGATACGAACTTAGTCAAAATCTCAAATTACATCAAACAATATTAAAATCATGAATTGCAACCCAATTCTAGCCTATTGGACTAATGAACTTCAACTTCTAAAACTAATGTCTAATCATACCAAACTAATTCCGAATGATCTCAAATTTTGCACACAAGTCATAAATGACACAACAGACATATTCTTACTTCCGGAACTGAAATACGACCCCGATATCGACAAAGTCTGTTGATGCCCAATTTTTTACTCATACGTTTCAAAATGCATATATACTTTCAAAATAGTGCATGAGCATCAACCAATATTTTTTCATAATTTTCTGTATTTTTAAAAGGATTTTAATTAATTTATTCTAGCATTTAATTATCCAAATAATTACTAATTGCATCACAAATGGTTTTACGATACTTTTATTTTCTTAATTTTATTATTTATATTTATACTAAGCTTTAATTATTTCAGGAATGGTCATATGTACATGTCAGGGTTATAATGGCAATGACTTTGCAATAATATCCTATGTGTGCATAATTACCTTATTTTACAAGAAAATAACCTTTTATATTTTTATAATACTAAGTAATTATTTTAAATCATTTTTTATACGTGAAAATCATTTTTTTAATAATTTATTACTCCCTCTGTTCCAGTTTATGTGAACCTATTTCCTTTTTTGTCCGTTCCAAAAAGAATGACCCCTTTCAAAATTGGTAACAATTTAACTTAAACTTACAATTCTACCCTTAACGAGAAGATTTTATAACCACACAAATACTCTGGGCCCCTTTTTGCTTTGTTTAGGACCACAAATTCCAAAAGTCTATATTTTTTCTTAAACTCCGTGCCCAGTCAAACAGGTTCATATAAATTGGAACAGAGGGAGTAATTATTTTTTAAATTATTTATCAAATTAATTGGGTATTTAACAAATAGCCCCTTTTAATAATGTTTAAATTCGGACCCCCAACCCAATTCAATTAAACATAGCCCAATCTACCCTAGCCCACTTAAATGAAACCCATGACCCAATCTCCAAATACCCGCCCCAAACCGGATGAAATCCTAGTCGTTGATCTCAGAAGATCAACGGTCCAGGATTCATTTTCTTTTTTAATTAACCAAACAACCCCCCAAAACCCTACCCGTAATCCCAAATACGTCGCCTCTGAATCCTCTCCTCTTCTCTTCTCTCTCAGATGCTCTCGAACCCTAGGGCGCCGTCACTCAAAATTTTTCCCAAACCCCTTCGATTCTTGACCAGATATGGGGTCATCTGGTGATTTATTGG